AATAATGCATAATTTCATTTGATAAACACGTTTAGATTGAATGGTAATTTATAATCAGTCACAAGAATGTCGAATCTGAATCACTTGAAAAAAACACGGGGGTGCTTAACTTTTTTCCAGGTGTATATAAAGAAAATTTATTTAAATAATTTCCGTCGGCAAATATCGCCACCATTAAATGTATACAAACATTTGGAACATGTTTAAACGCTTAATTTTCAAATCAGTTAGTTTATTCGTTTGAAGTTAAGCACAAATCTACACAATGAGCTATTTGTGCTCTGCCCACCACGGGTATCGAGACCCGGTTTATAGCGTTGTAAGTTCGCAGACATACAGCTGTGCCACTAGGGGGGGGGGGTCAATTAGTGTTATTGTTAGTTGATTACGCAGAAGACGGCTATTCTGATAATGGTCACTTTTGTTGACTAGTTTTTAAATTTCGTTTATTACACATTTATAAATACTAGGGCGTATACTTAACTCCACCATTTTAGTATAATAGTGTGTTTAGATAATCTTACTGGCATACTGACTTTGATTACCTCCTAACAACATGAAGAAAACTTAAAAGAGCTTATATTAAGTTCATTGTTTTTGTTTATTTGTTGTTGTTTTTTGTAATTTATATTTCTGTTATTTTTTTTTATATCTTTTGTTGTAGGTCAATCGACTTGGCTGTTTTAAAGTTCCCGCTACCTCAGTCACTGAACTGGAAAAAGTGATCCTCAACAAATCGTATGTAACATCAAAACTCAATTATTCAAGTACAGTTTAGAAGAAGACAGGGCAGTGAAAAAAATATTGAAATATGGTAGCGACAAACTTTTATGCATGTTTGATTTGTAAAACAGATTTTTATTTATTTATTCAGGTAGTCAATAAAAGCCTTTGAATTTGGAAAATGCTTTGATTAGAAAGAAAGACCGACAACAAATGCATAGCCTATCCTCATAATGAAACCTGTTATTTAAAAATCAAAATGAAAAACCAATAAACTATATAGGCCATCCTACACAGCCATTAGATACTTAAAGTAGTCATGAGTATCTTATAGTATTTTCAAAAGTGATCTGACCTGAAAGATTTTAACTGCCTTAATCCACCCGATTTTAGTTTAGGTTTAGAACGACATCTTAAAGGAATAATTGCTTAACTTAACAAGTATTTTTGCCGTGGTTGCAACTGGGAAGCATGTCGACAGTTTGTTTAACAGTTTTTTGAAAGCCATACCGCTTCAGAATCATACGAGGTCCGGGTGTGGCTTATCGGTTAGTATATAGTTCCGCGTAACAGAAAGCCCAAGGATTGAGCCAGTGATACACCGCAGAATACGCTTCACATTTTCAGCTGTGCGGGAGTTATAAAAGTGTCAGTCAATCCCGCTATTAATACAGATAAGAATAGCACGCAGATACTTTCTCATGGTCAACAGTTCCAAATTGGGGGCAGTAATGTCTAAGCCTAAAGATCTATAAATCGGCTGTTTAGCCCATACGTCGTATAAAGCGCCACCGATCAGATTGAAAATACCAATTAACAGTGTCATACAAAATGTAATAAAACTGGCTCGAGTTCGCATTCATGAATTTTAATTATAGATCTTAGCAGTTATTGGTTGGTTGTTGTTAAACACAAAGCTATACGATGGGCTATCTTTGCCCTACCAACAACGGGTATCGAAATCTGATTTTTAACATTGCAAGCCTGCAGACTTACCGCTGAGCCATCAGGGGACAGATGTTAACAGTCAAATATATATAATTATATTATGTATTATAGCTCGATGCAATAAGAGTTGATCAGAGAATACATTGTTAAAAAGTGGAATCTGATAAAGGAAAATTTCACATTATATAATGTCCAATGTAGGCTATTGTTCCCCAAAGAGGATTTAACTCAAATCTAGGCTTGAAGTCTAAATCTTATATCGTAGTTTGGTGTATCTTGAGGAGATGATTAATCTATATTATAATACGATAAGATACAGTCTTGGCCATAGTGGTTGTACACTGTTCTATATTGATGTTATTGTCTACGTGGATGGAGTAGTTATTGAGAAAATGCCCGATTAGTAACAGAGAAGATATCGTATGATCGGACAAACATGTACGACTTGTTATTCTGGTCTGTATAAGTTGTTTTGAGCATCTGTTCGTCAAAACACGCATACACACCTGTTTTGTATAAAAGGGTGTGCTTTTGGTATAATCTTTTTCGAAACAGATCAACACTTTGATCAGACAATGTCTCTGTACTTGGTATAGAGTCATGCCTCATCACGTGCCAGAAGTTATAGGGCGTCAAATTATTCGACTGTCTATAAATGATGTGAAGCAAACGGGCATTGCCAGAATAGCAGAGTGCCTCCAGTGCACTATATCCATAATCATGAAATGTCATCGGACTGCAGAAAATGTTATTCCCGGAAAGTCTACTGGTAGACGCCGAAAAACTACTGTGTTTTGATCAGGTTAACACGCCAAGGTCGAAAGAAATCTTGCAACACCTTACGACAGGAATGGCATGAACACATTCATTCCAGGGTATCCAGAAGAACAATGAATAGGAGACTGACCAAACTTGGTTATTTTGGAAGAAGGGCTATCTGCAAACCGATATTAACCAGAATTCAGCACTGTCACCGTATTACTTGGGCAAGACAGTATGCCAACTTACAGTTAGGATACTGGCAACATGTCATATTTTCAGATTAATCCTGTTTCCGGCTTGTTAAACATGATGGTAGGATTCGTGTTTGTATTTTGACTGGAGAACAGATGAGGGAAGACTGTATTTCCCACAAGGAATACGCAGGAGGTGGTGCAGTACATGTTTTGGCAGCTATTCATCGTGGTGAAAAAACTGCTCTTCATATACTCCAGGGAAATGTCAAAACGCTTCCTACAGGCATCACATGGAGACGACATTTCTGTCATATGCTAGAGCAAGGTTTGACAATAACTTTGTATTCCATAATGACAATGCTAGTGCCCACTGTGCACGTATTGTACAGGATTACCTATACCAGGAAGACGTTACAAGATTGCCATAGCCATCAAAGTCTTCAGACTGTAATCCCATTGAGAACTGTTGGCAGAACTGAGCCGGAAAATTGCTAACCACGACCTTAAACTAGTTACTATAGCTGAGCTGCAGCGCCTTCAAGTGACAAGTTGGGATGAAATCACGGTGGATTACATCAATAACCTCATCGACAGCATGCCACATCGCTTTGCGGAGGTTATTAGAGTACAGGGAGAACCAACCAAGTACTGAATGTTTAATATGAACTGATATAAGGTTACAGACGCTATTTATAATAACTTGATGTTATATTTTGTCATTATATATGTTTTGGTAAGGTTTTGTTGTGCTAGGTGAAATGCTGATGTTTGATAAAATTGTTTGCTGTTTTAATAAATCGTTCATGATGTTCATAGAACCTGTTTCATTATACAAATTACATGTGTAGATAATTAATATAATATGCATTTCTCAGTTTAACATCGCTAAGTGTATTTGTATTCCATCTTAATAATAATGATCTTATTTGTTATAAAATATGCAAACATTTTGGCCAAGACTGTTTAACATAACGTAGTGTATTTTTGTGAGAAGGTTATTACTATTATTACAATGTGGATTAGTACAAGCATTAAGATGCAATACAGTATATGTTGATGAGAAAATTACATTATATATAATGCAGTATAAATTGATGAGAATAATTTTACTGTAAGGTAGTTAATCTTTAATTATGAAGTTAAGCTTTGGAGACAAAAATAAGTTGCAATGTATTATATTTTGATGAGAGGATTGTATTGTGCGTTGGAATGTCGTATGTCTTGATGAGAAGATTGTATTGTATGTTGGAATGTAGTATATCTTGATGGGTAGATTCTATTGTATGTTGGAATGCAGTATATCTTGATGGGGAGATTAAATATTATGTTGGAATGTAGTATATCTTGATGTGAAGATTGTATTGTAATGTAGTACATTACGTATTTTACGTTTATGAGGATACTATACTATGATGTGAGGTACCTTGACGATAAGATTACACTGTAATATACATATTAATCATGAGATTATTCTGTAATGTAGCACACTTTTATGAGAATATCACCATGTAATGTAATACATTTAAAAAACAAAAATACAATATAATGTAGTATAGTACGATTATCACGAAGCAGTGTAGTGCTCTGTTGTGAATTGGTAAAAAAAGACTACACTGGAATATAGTAAACTTTGATGATAAGATTATACATTGATGTTGTGTTGAGTAGTAAAACATATGATTGATTTAAAATTGAACTAAAATAATTAATTACATTTAAATGAAAAATGTAAATTATTAGGTGAAAATTGAATTTAACTGAAAAACAACTAAAAAACGGACATGCTTTTAAATATTATTCATCAAGAAACTTCACAGCATTAACGAAAAAACAACTTTCAATGATAATCGACTAAACAATATAAAACAGCGAAACAATTTCAATTATAAAAAAAAAGCGAAATGTAGCTCAGTTACAAAAATTTTAATTTACAACTACGTAATGCTTTCGCTGGCACACAGCAAAATTTTTAACCGATAAGCATCTGAGTAATGTTTGAACAAACTGGTTATTAACAAGTAGTGAAACAACTTCCGTCGAGGAAATATGAACATTAGGAACACTGAAAGCTTATATTACCAAATACACTCCTGAGTTACCTATATAGTATATCTTGATGGGAAAATTGTATTGTATGTTGGAGTGCAGTGTATCTTGATGGGAAAATTGTATTGTATGTTGGAGTGCAGTATATCTCGATGGGAAGATTATATATATACACGAAAATATGGAATCAAATTATCTTGTACTGAAATGTACATTGTGAAATTAAACATTGTTTCGAAGTACTTTGTAGATATATTTCGCTAACCACTGAATTGTATCCTAATATGTTATTTCAAATGACTTAATAATATCAAATACAGTGTTTTATTTACAGATGGAGTAACTGATACAAATATATACAATTATAGTAAAGTATATTTGTCAGAATAATAATTGTTCAAACGAATATTAAGAACTTCGACGCTGCTATCAGTTTAGAAGACATGGAACTGTCACTAAATGTTCGATGACGATTACCTGATGATGACAAAAAACGCTGCTATCAGTTTAGAAGACATGGAACTGTCACTAAATGTTCGATGACGATTACCTGATGATGACAAAACCTTGTCGAAACGTTGTACATTTGCTGTTATATTAAAGTTTTTCTTCATTACCCATTCAAGCCGTCTCCAGCCATTATTTGTCACTAAATGTATTGTTCTGTGTCATGTCTGCTTGAATGTTTGTTCTGTGTTTAAATAATAAGACGTCATATCGATGGATGAATATTATAGTCCATATGATAATATACATTTGAATATTCTGTGTTTAGATAGTATAACACATAATACACATAATAATATATATTTGAATATTCTATATTTTGGATATTATACAGGGTGTCCATAATAGTTGTTCTAATAGAAAAATTTTAATTTCACGATACATTTAATGAAATAATTTATTGAGTATTATCACCGCTACATTCGTCACCTTTAAAGTAATAACAGACTTGAAAGTAAATGGCAACAACTTGAAAGAGAAAACAAGAAAAGTGAAAATCAGGAACATAAGATGGAAACGAATTTTCTTCTTCCACTTTCATCGAAAATGTTTAAACAAGTAACTACGCATCAATGTATGCAAATCGTAAAGATGCAAATTAACGACTCTGCATCTCTAACAGAGCATTAAATGA